AACTTGCAGTAATCCTCCTGTTCTCAGCTTCCCAAATGCTGGAATTACAGGCAATGCCCAGTCTCAATCTCCATCTCAGTGTGCCCCTGGGGTGGGACTGGCATGGTACACTGGGGATCGAACCCCAATCCCTGTGCCTGCCTAAGCAGGCACTTTAACCCATGAGCTATTTGGCTGGCCCTTGTCATGCCCTTTTTAAAGTGCCTTAAGTGAGAATTGGCAAGTCCTCTGAGATATGCTTTGGAGTTTGGAGTTAATGTTACTTGTGAGAATTCTCCTGGTTCTCTTTGTGATTTAAATGAGAGCTGTATGTTGATGTCCTGTATTTATATTGTGCAAGAAGGAGGAAGAGGAGGAGAAGGAGAAAGAAAAGAAGAAGGACAAGAAGGAGGAGAAGAAAAACTCCACTCAATACCTGCAATAATTCTGGATCGTAGAACTTACCAATGCTAGTCATGAAGGTCTCAATAGTCAAAAGCCCAGTAAAATTTGGGTCCTCTGCACTTATGAGCTGAAAGTCATCAAAGAATCTCTAATTTTTTAAAAAAGCCATCAAACAAGGCCCACATTTTCAAAGAGAAGATTTGCGTATCTTTCCTTGTTAAAATTTTCTTTATCATCCTCCATGCCACATAGGTAAGAATCATACTATTGGGAGAACGTTGAAACTCAAAAGAGATTGCAAGTGTTCCCCAGGAGGGATAGGACTTTTCTCCTATATAACCTTTTATATGGCATTTATTTCTTACATATGCATGTCTGAACTATACATTTTGACACTAGGTTGGTGATAACTATGTCCTAATCTCCAACGAGACAGATAACATATAATCCCCAAGTCTGGGAACCAGATAGCCTCTATTAGTTATCTCAGGAATGTAAAAGGACATATTAAAACAAGGAATGGGGCTGGGGAGATGGCTCAGTAGAATAAGCGCTTGCCTGGCAAGCACAAGGGCCTCAGTTCAATCCCTGGTTCCACCAAAAAATAAAAATAAATAAAATAAAACAAGGGACCTAGGCACTGGGAACATCTTATAGGAACATATTAGATATGGTATAATACAATATTTGAGAGCTCAGACTGGAGCCACATTGTCTTGTTGGAAATCTCAGATTTGCCACTTATTAGCTGCTTAACCTTGGGGATGTTATAAACCATACCCATGTGTCAATCTCCTTCAGTACGATGGTACAGGTGGCTCTCCCTTCATACAACTGTGTGTGGATTGATTCCTATGAGGCATGTTTCACATGATTCTTGGAACAGAGTAAGCCCTTGTTAACTGTTATTATTAAAGGAGAGGTCTTTTTCTCCTTCAAAATGTTTCTTTCTCTTCCTCCTGTCCTTGATTACATCCCTGACCTCCTCTCTTGTTTATTTTTCTAGTGCCAGTTGTTCCAGTATCTGCCTTCTGGACAGGAATACAAAGAAAAGACAACTTGCATTTCAGTTTTAATTTTTTTTTGGTATGGCCTACAACATCACCTTAAACTAATACACCATAGATCGTTCTTATTCAAGAGCTAAGGGCTCTTTGAACCAGCCTTTCCTTATTTATTAGGTTAAAAAAAATCAAGGCCTTTTGTTTCAAGTTGCTTTATTGTATTTTGTAGGCACCAAGCACATATTGGATGTCATGTAAATGTGAAATGCTCTAACAATAGTAACTGAGACAGTTGAGAAACTTAAGGAAGGGAAGTCACCATTTTGAATTTAGCTTTTTATTGATGGGTTGAGTGATTTGGGAGAGACAATGTGGCTCCAAGGCTAAAGAGCCCACAGGGATTCAGAGGGCAAAGGTTTGGATATCAGTCAAAGCAGCAGCTACAGTGATCTCAGGCAAGCAGCTTCCTTCTTCTGGATGTCAATTTTGTCCCAGGAATACTAGGCTTGATGCCACAAAACTATCTCCAAGGGGTGTTAAGCCGGAGTTGCTATAAGTGGTTGTTCAGATTGTATACTGTAAAAGGGCTCCAGATGGGGGTTAAGTGGGAGTCAGCATGTAGTTCACTCTTGTGTTCATCCATCTGCATGCTGGGGAGGTCCGTCTGGAGGAAAGGGACGCTTTTTCCAATGTGCACAATAGTACTATTTGGGCTAGTACTGACCCTGTGTCAAGCAATTTGACAGCGATGGGGCACGACACAGAATGGATAAATTCATTCGCTCCAGCTACTGAATACCTAGTATATGCCAGGCCCAATTTTAGTCTAAGGATTGGACAATGGATCTAACTTCCCTCGGATTTTCCCCCTTTTCACCAGCCCATCTTCTGCTATATTCCTGCTGATGAAACGGTCACCCCCACCCATTTCTCTTCGGCCCACTGCCAGCACTGTTGTTTCATTATTCTCACTTGGACTATTCCAGCAGATGGACTTCTACGTCTATTCCCGTTTTACGTTGTACTTTTGAGCCGGGGTCTCGCTAAACCGCGAATCGTTCAGCTCCTATTCGCGTTTCTCTGGTCTCACCCTCCCAGAGGGCTAGGAGTAGAGGCGTAAACTCCCAGGCCCGGCCGAAAAAAATTAACTTGAAACAGACTGAGGCGAATGGCTTGAAAAGAAGGCGGCAAAACTGAGTAGTGCTATATAAAAACAACGCTGTAATGTACAACAGCGTTGAGTAATGTTTACGTTACATAACCTAAAAATACCTCCCCCCCATGGCTTCGGCGGCAAGGACGTTTCCCGCGGCGGCAGAATCAGCAATACAGACTGGCGTACACAATAGGAAGCAGAGACACTGCAGATTACTTTTTCAAGAACTTTAGCAGTTAAGGCACGACTGAGTGGGACGTGAAGCCACTGGCGGGCCAAGAGCGCACGAGAAACGTCCTCTGGAAGCCACACACCCTCCTCGCCCTGTTCACCAGCCCCGCCCCGCGTGACGAACGTGGTGGGCGTGGCGCGGCGGCGCGCAGACTACGTTCCCCAGAAGGCCTCGCGGCAGGGGCGGAGCCGAGGCCTCGCGCGAGCCCCAGCGGCGAGCGGAAGAGACGGAGCTTCTTGGAGGCGGCGGAAGAGGAGGTCGACGGCGTCCCGGTAACCGTCAGTCCGCGTTTCCCCGCTTTCCTTCACGTCCTGTGTTAAGGTTCTTTACTCTCATTTGTCCCCTCACAGTCGAGGACAAGACTTGCTTTTCTCGTGTGTTTGTTACTGGTGTTCTCTTTCCGCACGTGATGCGGAGGGGCGGCCCCCGCCAGCGCCGGAGGTTACTGGGAAGCTCCTGCCCTTCGACCTCTGGGGCTTGGTCTAGACTTCGGGTCCGGGGACCTCTGCGCTCGTAGGAGCGACGAGCGCGCCTCGGCCCTCGCCCCAGGTCATCCCCGCCTAGGGTTCGTTCTTTTCCTGTGTTTCAACAGGTAGTTAGCGGAGTTCACCCCGCAAAGGGTCCGAGGGCGTGGGCCGCGAACCCTAAGGCAGCCCCTAGACTGCGGCGCGGGCGCAGCAGGCGACTCCCGGCTCCGAGCCTGGCCGCCGAGCCCGTCCCGCTGCTCGGGAGCCCAGGGCTACGGGTAGTGAGGGCGGTGAACTTCCTGGTTTTTCTGGGCGGCCCTCGTAAAACTTAAATCCCATTACAGAGTGTCCCCTCCCCCACCCCGCCTCTCCTCCGAGTTGGGTAAGGGGCGGAGCTCTCAAGTCCCGAGCGCATTTTTGGTCCGCTGCTTGCTAGGACCTCGCAGTCCGTTTACTGCCGCTTCGGTTTTCTTGTCTGAAAGATGGAAATAGTTTTCACAGTTCTGCTTTCCAGGGTTGTGAGCTTCAGCAAGAATGATGCCAAATCTTTGGGCTATAAAGCATGTTTGCAATATCACCATGGTATGCTTTTGACTGGCGCGGGTCAGTTGAATTTTAAAGTCACATTCATGTACCTTATGAAGAGCAGATGAGTTAATAAACAGTAGGAGCGTCTGTCTGGAAATTGATGTGAACCATACAAATCGGCTCAGGCCCGGATTCTGGAGAAGACTTATTATTAGGGACGTAGCACCTGTGGAGTCAGTTTTAAATTTTGCCTGGATGTTAAGGCCCACCAGAATTGGGATTCTTTTTTCTCTTCAACAAAGCTCTACCCTGCTTGCTCTGTTTATAATCCTTTTCAGCACCGCACAGATACAAGCACTTGAGAAAGAGAAACACTTAAAACCCCCCAAGTATGGTGCTGAATTACTGTGTCTCTAGCAATTCTTGTGTCTTTCATCTTTTCAGATACTACTTATGCACTGAATTTAGCTTTTCTCCTAACAGAATCCTACTAACTTGAGTGTGTAGTAGTTGAAATGTATTATTTTCCACCTGTGCTGGGTAAATGTACTAGAAGTCTGTTTTCTTATAGCATTGAGAATATAAGTAGCCAATAATTGACGTCTGGTCTCTTTTTTGACAGTTAACCTCCAAGGCTAAGCACATTGCTCTCATATTTTTCCACTTGTAGAAAATATTTTTTACTCAGTTTTTAAAAAGATTTGAGGTGTAGTAATTAGGTGATTTTAGCCTGTTAGGAAATGCTTGAGTTGGCTCAAAAAACAATGACAGTGAAGTGTGTTAATGTACAAATTTGAACAAATATTAATTCAAATTAATGCAGTAAGTAGGATTTTTTAATTTCTTTGTTTGGGGGTGGTGGTGGGATGGGGATTGGACCTAGGATCTTTACATTGGGCAAGTATGTCCTGGCGCTTTTAAAATTATTAGACAGGGTCTTGCTGAGTTGCCCATGCTGGACTCAAATTAGTAGTACCCCTGCCAGCCTTCTAGAGTGCTGCAGTTCACTAGTTTTTAACTTGGAGGAGTTGGTTGACTTGTCTGAACTTATCTACCAATTTCTAAAATGAAGGTAGTAGCATTTACCTCATATGTGTCTGTAAATATTAGATGACATTTGTGACCATGAACGAACTTAGTAATGCAGTGGGTGCAAAAAGTTTTCATTGCTTGTTTGCTATTCTTGATGACTGACGATAAAAAATATAATTTCAGGTGTTTTACTGAGGTCCTGTTTAATTGGGAAATGAGGTTATAATTCTTAATTTGTAGACTTAAAAATATTGTAAATGGTTCTCAGTCTAATGTTTTGTTTTAGCAATTTCATTTTATGTGAAAGTTACAGGGGCTAGGGGTGTACCTCAGCAGTAAAGTACTAAAGTACATAAAGCTCCAGGTTCAATTCTTAGTAACAAAAAAGAAAAAAAGCTTTTTTTTAAAAATAGAACTTTTAGAGAGTCCTATAATGCCGTTGTAAAAAGGTTGTTGAGATGTGTTGTGGTTTTTATTTTTCTAGATATTCCGAATGTTGCTTTTGAAAGTGAACTGGTTCTTTATTTCTCATATTTTTATCCTGTAGTATGAATGCACATCTGCACATTGTAGTTTACAGCAAAACAATTACGTATTTTTATAACGATATTAACCAGGGTAAATTTTTGTACATCAGTTTTTGTTCTCTTTTTTTTTTTTTTTTGCCTCCCCAAGGAAGACTTGTAAGTGTTAGCCTAATCAGTAGGGTCTGGAAGGCTTGATGACTTTCATTTTTTTAAGGTGAAAACTTTAGTGGTTGCTGCAGCTGCTGGTATTGTGGTGTGTGTATAAGTAGGAGTGAGCTTAGAAAAACTAAGGAGGCAAGCCTCGCAGAGAAAAATGATTTGTTGGGCAAGGCAATGTGTCAGGGTTAAGAATTGAAAGAATGCATTTTTCCTTCATGAGCCATGTTAACTGTCATACCTGCAAAGTCAGATATTAAGGAATTATTTTTTTCATTCTCTTTTCATTGTATCCCCTGGCTGTGCTTTTCAAGTTTCATTGTAACCTTTATGAATTAGCAAAGTTGTTTTTTTTTTTTTTTTACAACAGACATTAAAAAAAAATCCGTCAATAGTCATTTTCATTAAAATCTACCTTGTGTGCAATTGGGTGTTTTTTCCTTTTTTTTCAACACTTTGATCTTTGACACATTTACTTGAAAGTAATTTGGAAGGCAGATTTTACTCTCAGGCAGCTATAACATCTAAGAATACATAGTGGAAGCTTAGTAATGATGATCCTGCAAAGTTCTAAATAACATTTTGCTGGTTGTCCTATGTCACTGAAGCACACTCAGGAGAAAACATATTGTAGTATGGAATTCTGTGTACTATAGTGTAAGGTTCTACGTTGAAGATTTGAGTCCTTGCTCTCCTATGTGTGACTTTGTTTTGTACAATCATTCTAAATTCACTTCATCTGTAAAAGAGGGATGGTAACCCTGGGTAGTTAAAAATATTAGAGATTACTAGGTGCATACTAGTCACAGTAAAAAATAGGGATCATATTTAAAATTGAAATATGTACTTCATTGTTGTAATTTTTTAGGGCTGGCCAGATAACTCAGTGCTTAGGCAAGAACAGGGACTGCGATTCAATTCCCCTGCTCCACGTGTCCTGCTGACCCAGCCCTAACCCCCAGTTAGGGTACGCTGAGATGTCCACTGAGGCTGGGCATGGTGGGGCGTGCCTGTAATACCAGTATTTGGGAGGCTTAAAGCAGGAGGATCACTGCAGGTCTCATCTGTGTGTTTAGACCTTGTAGACCCTGTACTAAAATACATTAAAAACTATTGTAATTTTTTTTTTTTTTTAATTTTAATGTATTTAGGACAGGGTCCACATGGTCTCACTATGTAGATCGGACTTGTAGTGATTCTCTTGTTTTCAGCCTCCCAAGTGCTGGAATTATAGACGGGCACCACCACGTCCAGTCTTAATTGCTGTCTCAGCAAGCCCTGGGGCTGGGCTGGGGCCTACACAGGCCCTGTGCTCTGCCTAAGCAGGTACTTTAGTCTGCTGAGCTATTTGGCTGGTCTCTTGTAATTTTTTTGATAGGAGTGAATTTTGATTGTACATCTGTGTCACTATCCTGATGCTTCACACGACCAGTGTTGCTTTGTTGACCAAGGTTAAGGTTGTTGACTGATCATGGAGCCTGAAATACTGGAAAGCTAATTGACCAATATGGAGTTTGAATCTATAACCTTGTCCTCATTAGCTCTGGAAGGTAACTATCCTTAAATACATCACCAGAGTAAATAATAAAACATAATTTTTTAAATTTGTCATTTGTATACATATATGAATACATGAAGCAGCAGTAAGCTTGGCTTTTGAGAGAATTTTCTCTCATTCATATTTTTTATTTGGCATTAAATTACATGTAAGTAAAAGAACTAGTGGTAGGTTACAGTAATAGTAGAGATTTTTAATTAAAAATTTGTGAAGAGGGCTGGGGAGCTAGCATGGCCTTCTGAAGTGCCTGTCTGGCAAATGCAAGGACCCGGCTTCAATCCCCAGGACCACATGCCATGCTGCCCTGCTGGCTGCTGAAACTGGATGTGGTGGTGCACACTGTAGTCCCAGCAATGGGGAGACTGAGACTGGAGAATCACTGAGAATCTGAGCTGCATAGTGGGACCCTGTACCAAACAAATAAGTAAATAATGAAAAAATTTTATGAAGACTAGCCCTCATGCTATATGTATATAAAACTGGTGATCTATGGAATAGTTTTTGACAACCATGAAACCTAAACTATAATCTAGAAATGTCTTTTATTTTTAAAATTATATTTGTTGTAGATTATCTATAGGAGAAGAGAGAAGAAATGTGAGTAGACTGTTCACATGTTGAAATAGAACCCTACTGTGTTGTATACCAGAAAATATGCTATTAGCTAGTAGGGAAAGCATTTAGAGTTCTCCATTAATGAGCCCAGCAATAGGAATGAAACTTGAGTAACTCCTAAGAGCTTATAAATTACAGCAAGATTGTAGTTTTCAGAACATTAGATAAAAAAGTTACAGGGCATTACTCAGCAGCAGTAAGCTTGGATTTTGAGAGAATTTTCTCTTCTCAAAATATACGTGTGTTTCCTAGTCCCCATGTATGTTATTTTGTTTTGCTGTGTTACCTAGATTTCTGTGTAGTTTTCCATTCTTCAGAATCATTCTTTTGTTCTATTAATATTTGTTGTCTTGTATCTTTTTTAAAAATGCCAGCTGTGGCTGAGTTAG